CACATCCCTAAAAAAGAAAAAAGAGAGAGAGAGAGAGAGAACTGAAATCAGAGTCGAGTCAATCAAAAATCCTATTAATTACGGAGTAAAGTATTTGCTTGCCAAGGTCTTTTTGTCTTTTTCTTTTTTTTTGTTTTTTTTTCTTTGCTTTCTCACCCCCCTTGCATGATTATTGAATAGGAAAAAAAGCCATTTTGCATGTGTAACAGTAACATGCATATTACGGAAGCAAATCATATATGGTATAAAATACCACGAAAGTAAGTAATAAATAAATAAATAAATAAATAATAATTCTTTGCAGAAAAAAAAAGATCGAGATCGACATTTCATTCTCCATTCTTCATTATTACAGACAGATCTCATAATTACTTAATTAACATTATATATATATACTATTACTATATTGCATACTCCATAATATTTATATTTATATTGACAGTGAATAAATCAATATGTATCCTCACTTTCAATTCCAGTTTCAATTGCATTTGCACCTGCTATCGCTATTGCTATTCATCCCGTCTCTGTTCTTATCATCATCCTCATCACTTGTTTCCGCCGAACAGCACCAGCTCCAACCACCACAACTACAACCTCAACAACCTCAACAAGAGCAACACCAACAGGTCCAGCACCAACGAACCCTCTACGCATCGCACTACAGCGGCTATGTCTACTCTCTTAGCCTAACCCTGACCTTGAACCACAACAACATCGACAACAACAACATCGACATTATCGACAACAACGACAATGATATATTTTCAGAAACACTAACACAAACCTCCTCCCTCCAAACCTGCGGGGATCTACCAAGCTGGCTCACTTACGACTCCTCAACGCGCACTTTGTACTGCGTCGACGAGAGCTATGCAGAGGGGAGGAATGGGTCTTTGACTGCGTTGGCAGCCGTCGGAGACGGGTCGCTCATCGAGCTAGCAAAGACGGAGACGAGGGCTGGTGGTGTTGCCAGCACTATATATACTGACAATAACACAGGGAGGAAGTATGTTGCTATTGCGCATTAGTATGTCCCCTAACCCAACCCAACCCCCAGATACTAGGTTTATGTACGTATGTCCTGACTGATGATGGGTGATATCCAGCCAAGCCTCAGCACTAACCACCTATGCCCTCCCTCTAACGAGCAACGCTTCACCAGTACAAACATTCAAATACACCCTTTCCAAACCGGGGCAGATCCCCTCAAGGCAGGACGCGCCCCATCCACATGCAGTATTTCTCGATCCGTCGGGAGGATTCCTCGTATCGCCGGATTTAGGGGCTGATGTGGTGCGTGTTTATGCTATTAGTACTAACCAGACGGTTGACTCTGGGGGTGCTGTTCTTCACGAATGTGCTGTCTTCCCTGTGAAGGCAGGTGATGGGCCTAGGCATGGTGTTTTCTGGAGCAGTACCCAGACCAACACCAACACCAACACCCAGACACAGACACAGCAGAGCTACAGCTCTAACTACAGCTACAACTACAGCAATACTACTACACTGCTCTACATCGTCAACGAACTCGCCAACACAGTCACCGCATACACTGTCTCCTATAACGACAGCTCAACCTGCCTCTCCCTCTCCCCAAACCAAGTCATAACGCCCTATCCCAACGGTACATCCATCCCCGAAACAGCCAACGTAGCAGGTATCCACGTGCTCGACAAAAACCTCTACGTCTCTGTGCGGAATGATCATGCCTTCCCGTCAGAGGAAAACAGCGACTCGATGGCCACGCTGGCAATATCCGACGAAACTGGCGAATTGTCTTTCAGCGCGCTCACGCCCTCCTTCGGCCAGACACCGCGCACCTTCGCCATCAACGTCGCCGGCGACCTCGTCGCTATCGGCGATCAGGTATCGAGTAATGTCGCTGTCGTTAAAAGGGATCCTCGCACGGGGAAGTTGGGGCCGTTGGTGGCCAGTTTGCGGGTTGGGACGCCGGGAAAGGTTGGCGAGAGTAGTGGGTTGAGTAGTGTTGTTTGGGGGGAGTAATAATCCGATTTATCAGATCGGATACTATCTATAGTACTGATTTTGAGTAAGACGCTTTCTTTTTTTTTTTTGCTACATATATCTGCAGTATGCAAATCCCGCGTTAAACGTTATATGCACCTAGAAACTGCTATTCCTGTCATGTCATAACATACATCCGCTCGTCAAAGTCCCTCCCAGGGTACTCCGTACAAGAAAAAAGACCAGCCTTTCTTTTCATATCAAACCTCATAGATTGCCTCCCTCATAGATGCCTCCCTCATAGATGCCTCCTCATAGATGCCTCCTCATAGATAGCCTCCATAGATTGCCTCCGCCTGATACCCTGCATGTCCGAGAGATATCCTGACCGCTCGGACTAGCAACACCAGTGCTCTGTAAGGGTATCGGCATACACCAGTAGACTGCATAGACTGCATAGACTGCATAGACTGCATAGATTGTCATAAGACCCGAGCAAGATTGAAATGCCATATATCCATCATCATAAGCCCGTCAATACAGGTGGGCGAATTCGTCGTCACATGTCGTCAAAATGGAAAGAAACAAAAAAAATATATAAAATAAAAAAGACAAAGAAACAGTGCAACTGGGGACGTCGGCGTCACCTAAAATCCAATTGGAAGGCTTTCCATTTTCCTCCCACGGTTCTGCACCGCGGACATCCTCTCGGATTCAGATAGCTGGTCGGCCCTGAACCTCCGTTCTGGTTGCCGGACTGGCCGCCCGGGCTACTCGTCGGGTTCAAAATCGACATTGGCGGGCTATTACTCGTGAACATACTCACACACTCGCGACACACTCCGCAGATACATTCCGTGCACGCGTAGCACTCGGCCAGCGGCCACGCGCGGGAGCAGTTCGCACAGTAGATCTGGATCTCTCGACTCCGGAACGACGACGGCGTCGGATTGGAGAATCGATGCTGCGGACGCGTGTGGTTTTGCGACGGATGCGACGACGGGGGCACGTTCAATGGGCTCGAATCCGACTTGACGGATGGCGCCAGGCCGGCCGTCGACATGGGGTAATTCCTCCCCGATGCGGTCGAGGCCGAATCGAGCGACGACTCAATCGATGGAAACGGCTCGAGATCGCTATCGCGACTCCGCTGCGTCTCGTACGGCGGCGGAGTGAGCGACTTTTGCAGCGGGGACGCGGTATAGGACAGAGGCCGCAATGAACGATGCGGCGGCGGGAGACTCGACGACGACTGAAACGACGGAGGCAACGAGGAGCGATCCTTGGGAGCCGACGTGGTGCTGTTGAGCAGAGTCGACACGGAAGGCGAAGCAGGGACCTATGGGCACGGAATAAGAAACCAATGACCGAAAAAAAAAAAAGAAGAAAAAGAGAGAGAGAGAGAGAGAGAGAGAGAGAGAGAGAGAAGAAAGAAGAAA